AAAGCAGGACTCCAAAATAAAAGCAGGACTCCAAAATAAAAGCAGGACTCCGAAATAAAAGCAGGAATCCAAAATAAAAGCAGGAATCGAAAATAAAAGCAGGACTCCAAAATAAAATCAGGAATCTGAAATAAAAGCAGAAATCCAAAATAAAATCAGGAATCCAAAATAAAAGCAGGACTCCAAAATAAAAGCAGGACTCCAAAATAAAAGCAGGATTCCAAAATAAAAGCAGGACTCCAAAATAAAAGCAGGACTCCAAAAATAAAAGCAGGAATCCTAAATAAAAGCAGGACTCCAAAATAAAAGCATGAATCCAAAATAAAAGCAGGAATCCAAAATAAAAGCAGTAATCCAAAATAAAAGCAGGACTACAAAATAAAAGCAGTGATCCAAAATAAAAGCAGGACTCCAAAATAAAAGCAGGAATCCAAAATAAAAGCGGGACTCAAAAATAAATGCATGAATCCAAAATAAAAGCAGGTCTCGGATCAGGACCAGCCTATTCCCTACACTCACCATGACGCCATTCAGTAGATGCATTTTTGAATTGGAATAATTATTTGGTTGTATTCATATTTGATAGACTACATTTTGTTGTTAGTAAAAAAAGGCCTGCTTGTTTTGACCACATGGTGTCAGTCTTCACCAAGCGTGAGATTCCACGTACTTGTCCTGTTGTTCATTGAGTTTTTTTTGTCTTACAGGGTATTCTCACTGGAAAGGCCAGGTCCTGACAGCAGACGAGCTGCACGTGCTTTACGAGGGAATCAAGCTCAACAACGTGCACCAGTATGACTACGTTTTAACAGGTGAATCTTTTTCCTCACACGGATCTAAACGTGTGCTTTTCTTCTCACCACTTCTACCATGTGGGCAGGGTTTTGTCCTTTGATCACTGAAGAGATTGTCAGAATAAAGATAAGAGCTTAAGACATTTACCAAAATTGTGTGCGTTTGCAAGCACCGAATTCATAGATTTCTGCATTTTTAGTCTTTTTTCAGTCTCTCTAAGGACATTGAAGTCACAGTGGGCATTAAAGATGAAAAAGCAGACACCTGTTTATAAGAAATAATAAATAAAAATGTAGCAGAAATTAACCTAAATGTGCAAGGTCTACCAAAAAAAACTGTCAGATTTAGGATTTGATTAAATTGAAAAATACTTTTTTAGAGATCTGACTAATGGGATTTATTTAATACATATTTATTTAACCAATAGGTATTAGCATTTTTACATTAAAGTTTGGTGGTGTTTACATTCAGGTTTTATTTGGAAAAAATAACCCAGAAACATTTTTTTAAATACTTGTTCACTTGACTGAGTTCAATTTACACCTGCTTGCTTTGTCTTTTGTCTATTTAATCTGACTTTGTTGCTGTAATTATAATTTATTACACCACTTTTTCTATTTAATTCTATTTTCCTCAGTGTAATGCGTTTTAAAACATGCTTTGCAAATGAAATGTCCGTCCTTCCTGTCAGGGTACACCAGAGACACGTCCTTCTTGGAGATGGTGGTGGACATTGTTCAGGAGCTTAAGAGAGCCAATCCTAACCTGGTTTATGGTAAGAAGCTGTTTCATTCCAGTTTACATCTGTGAACCTCAGTGTTTATTAACTCTTCTTAAGACCCACCTCTTCTCTTTGGCTTTTGGCTTTTGACACCATGGAGAGTGTTGATTCTATGTATACTCATGCATATTTTCTTTTTTTTTTTTACTTTTAGCTGAATTTCTACTGTGTTATTTATTTTTCTTTGATATGTTTTTGTGCAGCACTTTGGAAAACCCTGTGTTTGTTTAAATCGTGCTATATATATATAAAAAAAGGTGGATTGGATTATCCACAAACTTCTCTATCTGTCAGTAATGTATATATATATATATATATATATATATATATATATATAGTAGTCCATATTTCAGATCAAAGAAGCTGAATATGTGCTGATGAGAGTAGAGTAGCTTTTTGTCCATGCTAATGGGACACTATGGATCCACACAGCTCCTCCGACCACCTGTGGTCTTTACTCCACACTCAGATGGTGTGGGAGGAAAAAAACTCCAGATTAGGGATGATTGATCCATCTTTTTGGACTTCTGATCCGATCCCGATCCCGGCCTATCAGAGCATGTATTAAAGTTTAAAGTTGTCAGACTCATGTTGAACAGGGATTTACTCTGATAACAACTTAATGGTTAGGACACAGACCTGTGGGTTACTGATGCTAATGCTAATGCTAATGCTCTGATAACAACTTAATGGTTAGGACACAGACCTGTGGGTTAGAGATGCTAATGCTAACGCTAATCCTTAAAGCTGTGCTGGAAAATGACCGGATATTAGAGAACAACACAGCAAAGGGGAATGGATTATTTTAATTGGTGCTCTAGAAAAAACTTTTCGAAAAAATACTGGATCTGGAGTCTGGATTAGGGATGTTTGATCCAGTTTTTTTTCACTTCAGATCCGATCCTGGCCTATCAGAGCATGTGTTAAAGTTTAAAGTTATTTATCTACTTACTTAGTTGTCAGACTCATGTAGAACAGGGATTTACTCTGATAACAACTTAATGGTTAGGACACAGACCAGTGGGATACAGATGCTAATGCTAACGCTAATGTGGGATCGGACTTTAAAAAAAACTGGATCTGGAGTCTGGATCTGCATTTTCTCCTGCCGGCCGATCCAAATATTGGGAATTTTTGGGAATATCGGTGGCCTAGTCAAGCCTAGTCAGAGCCAATCAAATGCAGAGTAGCTCCACCATCTGGAGCCGCGTTTTTCTGGTAGCTACAACAGCATCTGAACGAGGTTCTCAGAGTGTCGTGAGGTCTGAAAAACAGCCCCCAGTTCTCCTCCCGTCTCCAGTTTCATGCCCACCCGTCAGACTTGGCGTAATTCCCCCCCCCCCCCGTCTGACCATGTCTGCCTTTCTCTTTCCAGTGTGCGACCCCGTTCTGGGTGATCACGGATCTATGGTGAGATTTATCTGCTTTTTCTTTTATTTCTGCTGCATGCAGGTATAATTTGTTATGCTGCTATTTTTTTGGAGCGGGATTTAAGGCTCTTTTGTCAAACCGATGGATTTTAGTTATATTTAAGAGCCACATGCACACACTGACTCACCGTTATGATTCACTATTTTGGGGGATTAAGCTAATTTTCTGTCAGTTATTTGAGCTTAAAGGTAAGAAAACAAAGGGAATGAAAGAAACGAGGTGTCAGTTTGTTTTAACACTCTAATGCGTTTATCTCCCTCTGCAGTATGTCCCCCAGAATCTTTATCCGGTCTACAAAAACAAGGTGGTTCCCGTTGCCGACATTATCACTCCCAACCAGTTTGAGGCCGAGTGAGTGTTTTACCCTTAATCGCTTCAATCACAAAGTGCTTATGGTGGTTTTCTTTTGGAGTGGGCAGATTCCTGACAGGTTCCTTTTGTTTCTGTGTGAGAAGCAGGTAGCACGAACCGTCTTTACGTAATGCCACTCGTGCTGTTATCTAACACCTCCATTTCGTGGTCCCAAAAATACGCTCTCATCCCATACCTGCATGACTTTGAAATCACTCCAATCTACTGTTCCGGTTAAAGACTGGTAGAGTTATCTTTCTAGGCTATCAGATGGAAGGACACCGACTTAAATAAGCCATCAGGTGTCTGTACTAGGAAGGTCCTGATCCAGCTTTTTGCACTTCCAATCCCGGCCTATCAGAGCATGTATTAAAGTTTGAAGCTATTTATCTACTTACTTAGTTGTAGACTACTGGGTCTGGGTTAAGATGCATTATTATCACCTAGAATGATTAGCCCAGTTTCCAAAATCGGCCATTCAGCTGATGGGAAAAGGTCAGAGTGTCAGTTAGGGATGTCCCGATCCAGCTTTTTGCACTTCCAATATACTGATCCCGGCCTATCAGAACATGTGTTAAAGTTTAAAGTTATTTATCTACTTACTTAGTTGTCAGACTCATGTTCAACAGGGATTTACTCTGATAACAACTTAATGGTTAGGACACAGACCTGTGGGTTAGCAGATGCTAATGCTAATGTGGGATCGGACGTTAAAAAAAAAAACTGGATTCTGGAATCTGGATCTGGATCGATACACAGTTTTTTGCAAATATCAGCAGATCGGTAATAGCCTAGTCTGTACAAGTACTGAAGTTGTGAAATTCAGAGGAGTGATCTCAGTACCTCTGACTATAGAGATGTTGTTTTTGATGGATAAGTGCCTCTAGAGGGACTTCCAGAACATTTGTTTTGTATAATACAATAATATAACAAAAGCTTTGAAAACCCAAGCTTTTTTTTCCAGAGAGGCTTTCTCCTGAAGCCTGAACCACAACAATACCTGTTCAGTCTTTTTCTAACATTTCTGTATTGACCTTTGACCTGCTAAGAGATGACGATGATGCCATTTTATATTTCAGGTTGTTGACGGGGAAAAACATCACATCAGAGAAAGACGCCGTGGAGGTAATCCTCTCTTTTCCGGCCTCCTTTTTACTCTCTTGTTTCACAGAAAATGACAGATGTGTGTTTGTGTGGCTTCTTTCATTACACAAACTAGGCCAACATGCAAAATGAACCAATAAAGAAGTTAGTTTTGTTAATTGCATAATTTAACCCTCATGAAGTCACAAGGACGTTAGTTCTCGTTCTGTTTGGCTGAGCTGAGTAAATCAGATTTAATATTCCCAGATAATATTTAGAACTGTGTTTTTTAGCCCCCTAAACCAGCCTAAAATCAAAAGGCAACACAAAAATTGGCACAACTCCTCTCAAAACTAATCAATACATTAGCCAGTGCATTCCTTTATGTCCAGATTTAATTTTGATTTAATTTCCATGTTTGTCCACCAGAGGGCGCCACCGTGCAGGAAACGCTGAACTTTTTACAGTTTCTGCTGGAAAAGCTGAAGTAAATCAATGCTTCAATCCTCTGAGGGTCTTTAAAAACTTCTCAAATACTCACTGGATTTTAATTTACTGGAATTATATTTCATTAAATGGAGCTACAGAAACACATTTTTATTTTTTTTGAAGGGATAAAATCTCTGACGAGGAATAAACTTCAAGCTGAAGTTGTTTTAAAAGTCTGAGTCCTTTAAGGTGCAGAAAGAGATTACTTTTTTATATTTTTACAGTAGTTTATGAGACGATGGGGGGGGATCCAGTTGGATATTGTTGGACTTTCCCTTCTCAAGTCTTCTCTGTGTGGCTGTGTTCCAGGTCATGGACCTCCTGCACGCCATGGGACCAGACACGGTGGTCATCACCTCCTCTGATCTTCCCCCCAGACTCGGAGACCGCTTCCTGGTGTCGCTGGGCAGCCAGCGCTACGGTGGGTGCCAACTAGGCTGGTCCCGATCTGATATCTGGATCCGATCGGCCGCCGATATTCGCTAAAAACTGCGTATCAGTGTTTGGCTTCTCAGACTTTACTCCTCTGTGTTCCATTTAAAATACAAACACACATGTGGGAACAGAGTTTATAGGATTTAGAATTAAATATCCATGAAAGACCTGTGCTGCAACATGTAAAGAAGACAAATAAATTACTCTAGGCTTGTCCCGATCTGATATCTGGATCGGATCGGCCGGCAGGAGAAAATGCAGATCCAGTTTTTTTTAAACGTCAGGTCCCACATGAGCATTAGCATTAGCATCTGCTAACCCAGAGGTCTGTGTCCCAACCATTAAGTTGTTATCAGAGTAAATCCCTGTTCAACATGAGTCTTATAACTAAGTTAATAGGCTAAAAAACAACAATCACTTTTACCAAATTTACTGAACACAAAAAAAGCAGAATGGGGGGGGTAGATTTTAGCTAATGAGTGTTCCCTTAAGTTTAGGATGATGAGCAGCTTAACAATATAAACATAAATACATTAGGCTGGTCCCGATCGGATATCTGGATCGGATCAGAGGCGATATTCGCAACAACAAAAAAAGTGTATCGGCCGGCAGGAGAAAATGCAGATCCAGACTCCAGATCCAGTTTTTTTAAAAGTCCAATCCCACACGAGCATTAGCATTAGCCTCTCTAACCCACAGGTCTGTGTCCTAACCATTAAGACAGCCATGTAAATTTGAAGCTATCAGTAAAAATGTCAGGTTTGTAGGATTTTTTTATCCTTAAGGACATTTTCTATTCAGGTTGTTTGTGCGTTCTGCCTTTTTAATACAGTTTACAATATTATTTGCACTTGTTACTGTTCACTGATGCCACATTAGCATTAGCATTAGCATCTGTAACCCACAGGTCTGTGTCCTAACCATTAAGTTGTTATCAGAGTAAATCCCTGTTCAGCATGAGTCTGACAACTAAGTAAGTAGATAAATAACTTTAAACTTTAATACATGCTCTGATAGGCTGGGATCGATAGATTGGATCGGAGATGAAAAAAGCTGGATCGGGATATCTCTAGGGCCGATTGAAACCAAACCGGTGAAAGCCTTTTAAATCGTGTGTTTTCTGCTGCTCAGTGCGTCCGGACGGCACCAGGGTTACTCAGAGGGTCCGGATAGAAGTCCCCAAAGTGGACGCCGTGTTTGTGGGAACCGGAGACCTGTTTGCTGCTATGCTGCTCGCCTGGACGCACCACCACCCCAACGACCTGAAGGTGCACACACGCGTGCAGAAACGCACACGCGTGCAGAAACGCACACGCGTGTAGAAACGCACACGCGTGTGCAGGCTCAGAGCAGATCAGTGACCCTGTTTTCCCTCTTCTGTCCCGCCCAGACGGCCTGTGAGAAAACCTTCTCTGTGATGCACCACGTCATCCAGAGGACCATATCTTATGCTCACGGTGAGGAAAACTAGGGTTATAAAAAGTATGGATACTCAAAAAAGTATTGATACTAAAACGCTGTATCCGGATATGATATTCATTTTCATTACAATACTCATTATCTCTGATTTATTTATTCATTTACGTTGTTTATGATCATTAACGTGACGTTAGCCTTGAATTGCTAGCTGCGGCTAATGGCTAACAATAACACTTCAACATTAATCAAGTCGGCCATTTTGATTAAGTCACCAATAGGAAGATCCCAGGCAAGAAAATCCTAATTGCTTCATGGCAATATAGACATTAATCTAAAAATAGTGAAATTAATCTAGCAAACACTGAATTAAACTCTATCCATAATATTATGTTAAAATAGTGGATGTTAAATAGGTTTGTACAATAAGTCCAAACAAGTTTAACCAAAAAATATTTATTTCTCACAATTATGAAGGGTTAGGTTTAGGATCAGGGTTAGGGTTAGGGTCATTAATGTGGGTCACCATAACATCAGTAACAGGTCAGTTTGAAACCAAAGACACTAACCTTTCAAAATTCAGTTAAATTTTGGGGTCTTTGTTTTTATCCTTGTGGTATCGAAAATTGTATCGAGTATCGGATATTTTCCTGAGTATCTGTATCCAGTTGAATATTTTAGTATCGTGACAACC